TTAACAAAAGAGCGTGATAGTGATGATAGTAAATATTTTGTTACCTTTGGCTATTATTATCACTATCATTACTATTATTTAACATATTATTATTATGTAATTTAATGTTTTTTGTATTGATTTTTGATAATAACATCACTCTTAACATCATAACTTCTCTTGCGTACTCATACATTCTGCCTTCTGGATATAATTACGCAGGTTAGCATTATCATCCTCCATGAGGATTTCAGTTATTCAATGTTATGCAATATAATAGGTAACCAACCTTGAGTGTCTAAATCGAAAGTTAGTATTTACTATTAGCAAGTCATCCTTGAGCTGTAAAGATATGGTAAAACGTATTAATCACCGGATTGGGCCTTCTTCGCATGCTATTTATGTAGCATCATCATCATCATCTCAGAACACCAACTTTCCTAACATATGGCTCCGTTTAATTCACTGATTCAAGTTTTTAATTGAAGTTGAGATATGATTTTATGTGAGAGTTTTTTACTATAGTAAAAAAGTTAGATATGACTGTTTCTTAGAGTTTTTTATTGTAACAAAACTCAAATTTAAACTCAAATCGGTGAAATGAACGGGACTGCAGTATTAGTTACAAATTCTTTGTTAAATTTTAATTCCTCTCCAAGGTTTTGCTGCAGCCAAATAATTTTTCTTTTCCGCTTGATAATTATCAAATAATTTTTGATAATTTTTCTTGCTGAGATTTATCTTGGATTGGTAGAAGTCTGATCTTCAAGGCTCACAACATTGCTTTCTCAGTTATTCTCTTGATTATAACTTTCTAGGCCCCTTTGGGATGAAGTTTGATGTAGGAAGTCTCAAAATAAAGGATAAACAGAGATTGGTTTCATCATGGAACCAAATATCAGAGAGAAATTTCTCATTCAAGAGCAAAGCTCAATCAAGGAAAAGAAAAAAAAAAATATTACAATACTCTCATCTGCCTACCCTCACCAAACAACCACTCATAAAAGGAAAGTAGTTCTCTCCAGAAGAAACGACAAAGTGCAGCTAAAAATATTACAATAAAAAGAAACGACCGTAAACATGAGGATAGAGGGAAACGACAACGTTGCACTAGGCAGGTCCCCCAAACGGCCCATCGTCTACTTCAAGTGGTGCTTACATCCCTGTGTCAAAGTTTCTCATTACATGAGATTCCTCTTTCTTATTCTAAAACAAGTTCCCCAAAGGGTTTAGTTGATCCATGATTTATGTTTCGTTTGTTTCTTTAAATTATGAATGCCTCTTAAAATAACTTCCATAGCCAGGCTCAAAACAAAAATGATAACATCCTTAAAACGACAAAATAAATGTGTCGAATGTGCAAACGATTGGCAAGCTCTGTGTCTTTGCTGTCACTTTCGACAAGTACGAACAAACAAAACTACATCCTATTTAAATGGAAAGTATACGACACAGCATCCTCTGAACGGCAGTGCTTAGAAAAAGATGTTGTATAATAGTTTTGAATGATACGAACAACTTTCTGCCAATTATGTATGGCCAAATTGCTGCCCTTTGTAAATTTAACTCAGAGGGAGTATTCAAATCTATACGGTTTTTCAAGGACGAAGTACATGAGCTTTGTGATGCATTGTCGTTTAATAACGAAGCACTCAGTATCAATTAATTCACCACTTTTAGCACCCAAAAAAAAAAAAAAAGGCACTCAGTATCAAAAAGTGAACTCTGTCACAGCAGTTTTTTTACAACTCCTTTAGTCACAACATTTTTGCGTGATTAATCTGCATTTAGTCACAACTTCTATTGTATTTTTGCTGTGACAAACTTTTAGCCACGAGGTTATTAGTCACAAGAAACCAAATTATTCATTGGGCGACGGTTATTTTCATTTATAAAAGTGTACAGATTGGAAAAATTATCTCAATGAATAGCCTTTAGGAATCACATGTCATCACTAATTTGAGACTAAAAGTATATTATTTTTTAGTAATATATTATTAGAGAGACACAAATCTCCACATTTAAGAACCTAATTTGACTGAAAAGATTAAGAATCCATCTAGTTCATTAATTCAAGTTTTTAATTCGAATTAAGATGCGATTTTATGTGAGAGCTTTTTACTGTAACAACAAAAATTAAATATAAATATTTTTTATAACTTTTTCCTATAATAAAACTCAAATTTTAAACTTAAATCGGTAAAATGAGAACTTAAGAGAACTTTATAAGAATACCAAACAAAAGTAAACAGATGAGACAACAAAAATGCTCTCCCCAGCTTATTTTCCACCACTAGAGCGGAGCTTAAAACATTCTGCTACTAACACAAAGCTACCAGCAACTTCATGGTTCCAAGGATTCAGTGGTAGGATAGAAAACAAAGATTTCTTACATTAATGAATGTTTTAAGTTTGATAATGTTTCTGAGCTGAGAATTGTCATAATATTTTGTCAAGTTTGCGTAATGTCCATTTTTTTTTTTTTATAATGATCAACTTGAAGAAATGTGCACTGTCGCTAGGTAGTAGGCCTCGTGGATTAAACCAAATGATTTCTCTTAACACTTGTCTTGTTTGTTTAACTTTTTTTTCTTTCCCCAACAATATCCTTCTGCCTATTAAATCTTGTTCCAATTTCCAGGTGACTTAAACACGACCCAAAATAAAGAAACCAAATTTTATTAATAAAATGATAACTTTAGAAGCCCTACTGCAAATACAAAAGAACCACAAAAAATCCACCACCAACAGACAATCTAGAAAAAGGAATAGAACTCGAGAAATACTTGTACGAGATGTCGATTGTACTACTGAGGTCAGTTCCCCCGAGACACCTCTCTCATTCTGAAATTCAAAAGAAAATATTTTACACACATAAAAACAAGGTCAAAGAAGAAGAATCGAATAATTCCATTTCAATAAAACTGGAGATTCGCTGCAACCAACCAAGCCGCCTGATCGAGAGAGAGAGAGAGAGATCTCATCTGATCTGATCTGAGAGAGAGAACGAGAGAAGAGACAAAGAGCTAACAAATTAGGGTTTGGGACGTGGGTATTTTAGGGCCGTTCTCCGACCCCTTTTTGAGTCAAAAACTTAAAAAAATAACTCGAGTTACAATTTTATTCAAGTTCATGTTCTTTTAAGTTTGAGTTCGAGTTTAAATTTGAGTTTTTGATTGGGCCCGTTTAGTTCGCTGATTCGAGTTTTTAATTCGAGTTGAGATGTGACTTTATGTGAGAGCTTTTTACTGTAGCAAAAAAATTAGATGTGACTGTTTCTGAGAGTTTTTTACTGTAGTAAAACGCAAATTCTAAACTCAAATCGGTGAAATAAACGGGGCCTAAAACTCAAGTTCAAGTTTCTCCTTCAACTCGAGTTCAGAAATTCGAACTCAAATTAATGAACAGTATTTTTTATATTCTTAAAAATGCTATAATTTTTTCGTTTTAATTCTGATTGAGATGATTTTTTTTCTATGCGTTGACAACGAAAAGACGAATAAAACCCCACCCATATACCCTATTAAAATTTTCCACCAGCATTGAGTTTTTATTAAAATACTATCTAAATACAAATTCAAGTTTTGACTCACTCAAACACAAACTTAGGGTCCGTTTAGTTCGCTGATTCGAGTTTTTAATTTGAGTTGAAATGTGACTTTATGTTAGAGCTTTTTACCGTAGTAAAAAAGTTAGATGTGAATGTTTCTAAGAGTTTTTTACTGTAGCAAAACTCGAATTCTAAACTAGAATCAGTGAAATGAACGGGGCCTAAAAAAAATTCTTATCTCAAACCATAACTCAAATGTACACAACCAAACACAAACTCAAGTTACAATTTCAACTCAAGTTATAACTCAAATTCAATTCAAGATTTACACTCAAATCACCTAACTCAAAAACGGCAAAAGAACAAGCCCAAGTTGTAATTTGAGTTAGGGTAATTTAAGTTGAAGTTATAATTTGAGTTGAAGTTGTAATTTGAGTTTGTGTTTGGATGGGTACATTTGAGTTATGATTTGAATTGAGAATCTTTTTAAGTTTGTGTTTGGGTGGATCAAAACTTAAATTTGTATTTATATAGTATTTTAATAAAAACTCAATAGTGATGAAAAATTTTAATAGGGTATCTGGGTGGGATTTTATTCATTTTTTCGTTGTGAATGCATAGAAAAAAATAATCTTAATTAGAATTAAAACGAAAAAGTTATAGCATTTTTAAGAATAAAAAAAATAATGTTCATTAACTTGAGTTTGAGTTTATGAACTCGAGTTGAAAGGGAAACTTAAACTCGAGTTTAGCCTCAAATTCGAGTTCAAACTCGAATTCAAACTCGAATTTTACAAAAGAATATGAACTTGAATAAAGTTGTAACTCGAGTTCAAACTTTTTCTGAGTTTTGTTGCAAAAGAACAATCCGTATAAGGTAAAATGTTTGGCTAAAGTTAAAGGAATAGAGTTTTTTAAAATGAATACTTTTAATTAGTCTGGTGACTAAGGTATATTTAGTACACCGTATAAGCACTTCGTATTGTATTGTTTAAGAATAATATAATGTTTAACAACATTTTATACATTGTATAATTTAATACGAAATTCAAATTTAATATAATACATAGTGTGATATCTAATACGGATAAAAATTTATGTATTAGATTGTATTATGCAATTTAATTTTATAAAACATATAAAATATTTTACAAATATCAAGAGTCGAAATCGGATTTCGAGACTGACGTCAAGGTTAAATTTCAATATCAAAGCGATATTGAGTCTATATTTTTTGAAAATTACACTCTGACCTCTCAAATTTTTAAAAATTCTTTATTAACTCTTAATTTTTTTAAAATTATATTTTAACCTTAATTTTTTTTTACAATTATAATAAAATACAGTATAATACGGTAAAATATAATACAATCAATACGCTATACAAAACGTTAAAGGATAGGACATGTAATTCTCTCGTATTGAAGGGGACCAAATTATCACATAGTTAAGAATTCAGGGACGCGTTTTTTACTCCAGATAAAATCGACATTTTTCAGCAAAAAGAAAAAGAGAGAAAAAATAAATCTGATTTTTCTTGTCGCCTTTGAAACGGAACCTTGACATTATCAATTTTAGCCTTTCGGCTGCCTTTTCCATCTTCCACTTCTGCTCAAAAGCCTCCATTTTTGCAGCTCCGAGCACAGAGAAACGAAACGCACAAAAAAAAAAAAACAAAACAGAGCAAACAAAAAATCGAGAAAAGAAATCACAGGAATTGAAGAAATGGGGGATCAGACAGCGAGGGCCGAGGAATTCGAGAAGAAGGCAGAGAAGAAGCTCAGCGGCTGGGGTTTATTTAGCTCCAAATACGAGGACGCCGCCGATCTCTTCGATAAAGCCGGAAATTGTTTCAAACTCGCCAAATCCTGTAAATTCCCTTCTTCTTGATTGTTCCTTTCGATTGCTATTCACTTTAATATGATATTTTGTTTTCATTTTCATTTTTAATCTGTTCGAAATTTTTCCGATAGAAGATTGTTCTGATACAGAATTACGGGGAAAAAAAATGAAATTCGTGCTTGGCAAAAGTTTTCTCTTGGCGATTATAGGGAATTTGATGCTTTTGGTATTGCATTGACTTAATTTCTCGTTGTTAATATGTTTGGTGAAAAATGGGATTACGCGCTAAAGATACCATTTCATCAGATTTTGTCTCTCCTATGATTGGGGATTTGGTGTTTAGGGTTTGTTTGGATCCGTTATGCTTAAAAAATGCGTAAATTTCCATTCCAAGTAGATGTTTTGAGTGGTGGATTCGCAGTGGATTTGGGCGATCTTCGAATTGGATGATTGCTCATCTGATGAATTGCCCTTTAGATGTCAATGGCGGTGGAATGGATCTCGGAAGTGGTCTTTTGCCATATGGATTTGAAGTTTTAGGTGATTGACAATTATGACGGAATAATTCATGAAGGTGGCTTAAGAATTAACATAGGCCTCGCTGAGAAAAATGTTGCGAATACCTTCAATTCTGTTCTGGTCATGTGAATTATGAAATTACCTTAAGTTTTATAACAAAATTTTTCAAATATTTCACGCCAATTCTATTGATTTCTAATTTCTACACACGCGGTGTTTCAGGGGATAGAGCTGGAGCAACATATATTAAGTTGGCAAACTGTCATTTGAAGGTTGGTGTTTTTGGTACTTGGGGTAAAGGCTTGGAAGTTCTCTTTCTAGTAATTTATAACAAGCTGCTTTGTCAGAATGGGCTATATGGTAATAGTTTTCCTTTCATTGTTTTTCCTTTTAGTTGGAAAGCAAACATGAAGCTGCCCAAGCTTATGTTGATGCTGCTCACTGCTATAAGAAAACATCTATAAACGGTACGTAATGTGGAAGCTGGTGTAGATATTTTCACCATTGCTTAGAGATCCTCTTGGCTTTTGTTTGGCTTGTCGTCCTGGTCAAGTTGTTGTTATTGTTGTTGTTTGAAGTGTTGGACCAGAAAGTCGAAACTTCTCAATGGCAGACTAGAATTGTAATGGTTAAAATGTTTGTTTTTGTACAGAGGCCATATCTTGCTTAGAGAAGGCAGTGCATTTGTTTTGTGATATTGGAAGGCTCAACATGGCTGCAAGATACTTTAAGGTATTGCTTTATATGTTATACAGCAACATTTTAAATGAGACTTTGATTATTTACAATAAAAAATCTGCTTAGATACAAATTGAATAGAGTACGCGATCTTGTGGTGTTCATTTGCACTTCTTATTATGCATTTCCCTTGCTATTCATCCTCCTTTGGGTTAAGGTTAAACTTTCTTCGAACACTGTTGATAGGCACTTGGCGGTCTTCCTTACATGAATGCATTTGTAATATATTAGGTTACGAACCTTTAAGACATTCCATAACAAGGAATTGCTCTTTTCTTGTGTAGGAAATTGCTGAATTATACGAGTCTAAACAGAACATTGAGAAGGCTATTGAGTTTTTTGAAAAAGCAGCTGACTTCTTCCAAAATGAAGAAGTAACTACTTCTGCCAACCAGTGCAAGCAAAAGGTTGCACAGTTTGCTGCTCAACTGGAACAGTAAGTCTTTCTTGTTTTGCAAATACCTTTTCAATGTAATTTTGTAACATCAGATGTTGCTTTTGAGTTTAGTCTTATTGTATATGCACTCCTCTTTCATGTGCATGGAATTTCATAGAGAAGTCTTTCTGCTCTATAAGCTGTAAACCCCCCTCATCTGTTCTTTCCATGTGATCCTTAGAAACTGCGAGCTCGATCTTTCAATTGCTTGATGACTTTGATTTGTTGCTCACTTATGTTTAATGCATATTCTTGAGATCATTATTATAATACACAATGTGCATCTGTGAGTTGTACATTTCTTCAATACTGTAGTCTTGAGTTTTAGTATGGTGATCGAACGTTTTGATAAAGCCACAATTCAATGTGTAACAACTTTAACGTAAACAAAATAGAATAGGAACGCAAAGGAGTCCTTAAAAAAATTAAGCAAGACAGGCTTTGTGTTTATTTAGGGACATGATTGCTTCTTGACATCTTCTTGTTGATGCACGTATATAGTATTGCTGACTTGTTATGATATTGATCGTGAAATTTCATCAGCTATCAGAAAGCAATTGAGATTTATGAATTGATAGCCCGTCAGTCACTTAACAATAACTTGCTGAAATATGGAGTTAAAGGACATCTTCTAAATGCTGGAATTTGCCAACTCTGCAAAGGAGATGTCGTTGCAATTACCAATGCTTTAGAGCGATATCAGGTCTGACTTCTTAGTGCGCCTTCTTTCAGTATCAAAATATATGTTCTTGTTAATTTCAATACGTATGTGTATATATATATATATATATTATCTTGTTCGTTGTCTGAAGTGCAAATATTGCATTTGTTTTGCAGGATTTAGATCCAACTTTTTCAGGAACAAGGGAGTACAAATTATTAGCGGTGGGTCATATTGGTTTGGAAGACTACTAATTATTTTTATAGCTGTTCTTTTATGTCCTTTTTCCCCCTAATCATGTGTTATAAAGTATTACAGATGACGCTTATGAGAATAAGGCATTGCTGCCTCTTATTGACATTTATTTTCAAACTTCCTTTTCTTTTCTTCGTGCAGGATATTGCTGCTTCAATTGATGAGGAAGATGTTGCGAAGTTTACTGATGTGGTCAAGGAATTTGATAGCATGACCCCACTGGTATATTCCTCTCATGCTTTTGAATTGCGAAGTAATACTTGCTTGTTAAGCATCTTATAATCGCTTATATTGTTATTCGAAAGAAAAAAAAATCTTGATAAAGAAGGCAAAAATCTCGAATCATTGGCCAAGCATGACACGTTTACATTGGAAGGATTTAACTAGTACTCTTACATTTCTAGCTTCTAAATTTGAGATAACCATATGATTTTCATTTAACTGTCAGTTCCTGATATTAACCCGTTTTTTATTTTTCTTATGCAAAACCTTCAATTTTCTAATGTTCACCGAATTTCCTGCTGTACAGGATTCGTGGAAGACAACCCTACTGTTGAGGGTGAAGGAGAAACTGAAAGCCAAGGAACTTGAGGAGGACGATCTTACATAAATATTGACATGAAATTGTGTGTTCTTTTGTTTTGTTCTTGTTGATTTGCATTGTATTATGCATTTGTGTTGGTTATTCTCATTTACAAGGTATTGATCTTGAATGGTACTTGAGTTGGGATCCAATCAGAGTGGTTATGCATGAATTTACTGACTATGAGTGTGTAATTCTCCTCTTTTTTTCTGCTTATTTGGCTTCGCCTGCACATGATGTGGTTTTTTTTAAAAAAATTTACCCAATAAAAAGGCGGTTTCTATATATATATATATATATATATATATATAGTTGAAAGTATCTGATCATATTGTAGGTGATTGTTCTGCTTATTGCAAGGCCCCTTTAATCTTTATTATTTGTTAACCCTTAACTAATTACCTATAAAGACATCAGAACGTTGAAGTTAATCGGAGTATTAAATGGTGTTGATACACCTACCTACCTCGTTATTGGAAGTGGATACAATCAAATGGTGTTGTGTTAATTAACTTTCCAACTTTTAAACTCGGCAATTCGCCAAAAACTTCTTTTCAACTCTTCAATGACAACAATGTTTTTCTTTTTTTTTTTTTTTAATAAAAAGACAACAAAGTTGGCTTAATAAGTTGAACAACTGTTTACTCTTTAGGAAAAGGTAGTTGATAGTTGATAGTTGATAGTTGATCCCTTGGGTCTTGGGGAGACACTCGATAATAATAGAAAGCTAAAAGTTAATCCTTGCAAAAGGCAAAGGAGAATAATGGGGAAGTAAAAGTAAAAAATAAAAGAGAGAAATATGTTGAAGCATAATAGATGATTGAGAGTGAATATGTTAAAAGTCTGAAAATTTGACCGTTTAGAGCTAGGGCTGTTCGTGGGTTGGATTGATACGGGATATGATTTTTTCTTTCTTCGCCTCAAAAGGTACGGGTTGTACATATTTGACCCCAACGATGTTAGAAAAATTTCACAATCCAATGATGTTTGGGTTGGGTTGGGATGGGTTGGGTGGTCGGTTTCAACATTCAAAGAATCAAAAACTCAAAGTTCAATCCAACATTCAAAGTTCATCATCAAATAAAAATAATAATTGATAGAAATTCAAAGTTCAATCTAACATCAAATATGAAGCAAAGTAGTCCATCCAACATCCAACATAAAGCAAACATAAATTAGTCTACACTCATAAATTAGTCTTAACATAAAGCAAACATAGAGACTTAATTCAAACATTAAGAAACTCTAGAGTAGAAATGAGTTGCTTGCCTAAAGTTAGATATTAGATGAGACAAGTTAGAGCACGAGTTGGGTTGGGGTGTGCGGGTCATTATAGGCCCAACTCACACTCCGTCCCAAAATTTCGGGCCAAACATTGAATGGGCTGAAAAAAAAAATTTAATACTAAAAATTATATTTTTCGAATTAGATTGGAGTGGGGTGGGTTTAGCCTGCAGGTTTTTGAACAACCATATTTAGAGCTAACCAAAGATCAATTAAGAATTTTTTTATACACAATTTTATAATTTATTTTTGAATGATGACTATTTTATTATATATATATATATATATTTAGAATGACTATTTTATAGTTTAGATTAACTAGATACACAAAATAACGTGTTTTTGTGTTAAAAAATAACGTGTTTTAGACTAAGGAAACTTGCAAGTAGCTGTGTTTTGATGCCAACAGGAAAAAAGGTAAAAGTAAACGACCAGAGTTTTCGTTCTTGTTTAGCTTTAGACAGCCTAAGCGACGGCGTTTTCAAGCTAGTTCCAGAGGGTAAAAAAAGGAATCAGCTATCCAGTTAGGAAAGTAAGCGCACGCCACCACACCACTAATATTGGGTCGCTAATGCAAGCATATAATACAATAATACAAGCTTCTCCTTTTACCGAGGAAAAAAAAGAAAAAAACTGAGAATTCAGAAACCGCAACAAATCAAGGTTTTTTCAGCTTCCTGCGGTTTTTTTTTCCTGCCATTTTTCCGGTGAAGTATCAATCTTTGACCTTTTTTTCCCCGAGTATCCATGTAGCTATTATTGATTCTTCTTGCTCAATACTTTGCTTTGATACGATCTTTCCTCCTTTTTTCTGTGTACCATGTAATTTGATCCATGAATTCCTTTCCGATACAGAAAGTTATGTTCTTTCTAACCAGATTGAAGTGGATATGGAGTTTGAATTTTTTTTTTAATAATTTTATTTTATGTGCTGAAGATATTTGTCGTTGCTTAACTTATTCACTTTGTATGCTTCTGTGTACCAAATTGCAGTTTGGGGTTTGTGATTTTCTTGTTTTGAGTAGTTTCTAACCTAGTCTTTTAGTTTCAACTTTCTATTCGTTTGTAGATTTCTTGATGCTTTCTATTGTGAGAGCACTTTTTTCTCTTCTTTTTTTTTTCCCGTTTATTCGTATAGATACGTTCATATAATGACTATTGTATAGATACGTTCATATAATGAATATGTACTAAATGGATTTTCCTCCTCAGCGGAAATATTGAAGAAAACGTTTCTGCATCGAGTTCTTCATGTCACAATTTTGATATTGGATTGAGAAAAACTTTGAGCTTAATACAACAATGGCATTGGCTGATAATGGAGCTCGCAAAGAGGAAATTGAGCAATGTGACGGTAATAAAGAGAAGGTTGAAGTCCCTCTTGACATTTCGACGTCTCAAAGGACATTGCTAAGAGATGAAAAACCTCAAAGGAATTTCAACAATGCCTTCACTGCTATTCCTGATAGGATAAGGTTCCTTAAATTCGGCTCTGCATCCGCTAAATTCAAGCGGATAGCTGAGCAAAAAGATGAGGTTTCGCAAACAGTTGCTTATTCCGGTGGTCATAGCCTTCGAGAACGTATTAGCGGAGTATTTGCTCGGAAAATTGATTGGGTTTCACTTATGAAAATGTGGAAAGAATGGATTAGAGACCCGATGAACATGGCTTTGTTCTTGTGGATCGTTTGCGTCGCTGTTTCGGGCGCACTTCTGTTCCTTGTCATGACGGGGATGTTAAACAAGGCAATACCGAAGAAGTCTCAGAGAGACACATGGTTTGAAGTCAACAACCAAATTCTGAATGCGCTATTTACTCTTATGTGTTTGTACCAACATCCAAAGAGAATTTACCACCTTGTGCTTCTATGTAGATGGGAACCGAAAGACATTTCTAGACTTAGGAAGATTTACTGCAAGAATGGTACTTATAAGCCTCATGAATGGGCTCACATGATGGTTGTGGTTCTTCTACTTAATTTGAACTGTTTTGCTCAATATGCGCTTTGCGGTCTGAATTTGGGTTATAGGAGATCTGAACGGCCGGCCTTAGGAGTTGGAATATGCGTTTCTCTTGCTATTGGTGCGCCTGCAATTTCTGGTTTATACTTAATTGTTAGCCCCCTTGGCAAGGATTATGATCCTGTAACAGATGAGGAAGCGCAGGTTCCTGATCGTCCAGAAAAGTTGAGGTTGAAGTCATTTGAGAGAAGATATTCGTTTGCATCAAGGCGTGAACAGCCGATCATTGAGGAAAGACCCCAATGGAGAGGAGGGATACTAGATTTTTGGGAGGATATTTCTTTAGCATATCTCTCCCTCTTTTGTACTTTTTGTGTCTTTGGGTGGAACATGGAGAGGCTTGGATTTGGAAACATGTATGTTCACATTGCAACATTCCTTCTGTTTTGCGTGGCTCCTTTCTGGATTTTCATCCTAGCTGCTGTCAACATTGACAGTGAGACTGTTAGGGAGGCCCTTGGCTTTACTGGGGTAGTTCTATGTGCATTTGGTTTGCTTTATGGTGGCTTTTGGAGGATCCAAATGAGGAAGAGATTCAATTTGCCCCCTTATACCTTCTGTTTTGGTCAACCAGCATTGGGCGACTGCACATTATGGCTTTGCTGTTGTTGGTGTTCTCTCGCTCAGGAAATGCGGACCGGGAATGCTTATGACGTTGTAGAAGATAAGCTTTGCATAAAACAGATAAACAATAGTGACCAGCAACCACTTTCACCTCTGCCCCGCGAAGATGTTGTGGCTCAGTCCGGATCTGGCGTGAGTTCGCCGCTGAAAAACAACTCTAGCTCCACCCGGGTCAATTTCGCTGCTGCTTCAAGTCCCAGCGCAGTTTCAAAGGCATATTATAGTCCAGAGAGATCACTCCCTACAGTGAAAGAAGAGTCCTGTGAAAAAGGTAACGATCTAACTATGATGGCACCTTCTCCACCATCAATACAAAGAGAAACCACATAGCCCACATTAGGGAAAGAAACCTTTGTAGCATTGTTGTTGTATACTATGTGAAACTGCGAATCGGTCGTGAAACTTGATTTTCTGTTTTGAGTTATATATGCCTTTATGTTCTTTCATTTTGAAAAAATTTTCCCCTTTAAACAGCAGATTCCATGTTATAATTGAATTTTTATTGGTAAATATATGCACACCAGAACTCTGTGTTCTGATACGTCATTTGTTCACGGCAATTTGTCTGAATAAAATTTAGGAGGAATGTATCTTCTCTTTCTTGCTTTAACAGTAAGGTATCTTTTCTTTTTCGTTTCAAGGGTAAGGCATATTTTCTTTCTTCTTCTTGTACTTCTTTTTTTTTTAATCATCATTATTTTTTATTTTTTTTGGTTCTGTTGATTACTGAGCTGGAGAGATCTGATGTGGAACGGTTTCAGAATTGTTGAGTTAAAAAGGCAACGTAATGCTTCTCATTGAGAATAAGGCATGAGGATAAAGTGGTGTGAAGTTATCTTTAGAACATCAAAGGTTGCATGTTTCTTCTGTGGAGGTTCAATTTAAAGTATTTATTTAATATAAAAAAGGTCCTTGGAGTGATTTGAATAAAATCTCAAAGTGCTTCTGAGTTTTGCAATCATATGCTTATCACCTTAGGGAATTCTAAGGCAGAACAAGTTTTGGAAATGGTACCTTCTTCAAGGAAAGCTGAGTATCTCTGGCAGTGAGAGCTGGAGAAAAAAAGTGACCCATCTCTGGCGGCATATAGAACATATTTTGAGCTGAGGGGAGAATCAAAATGAAGATAAAAAAGGAATAAAATTATTTTGGTACCATGTATTGTAGTGTTTTTGATAATATTAAAGTGGTACCTCTACATTTTTAAAAATATTTTTTTATACTTTAATTTAATTTTTAAGATGTAAAATGACTTTAGTATCCTTATATTTAATTAATCAAAAACTAATAGATCTAGGAAAAAAATTATGAGCTTTTTATTTTGTTCTTTTCTTTTAAATATTTTCATATTTTTTAAAAAAATATTGATTTCTATATAATTGATAAGAAGGGTAGTTTGAACATTATATATGTCTTAAAAATTAGTTTCAGGATATCGAGAAGATGTTTTTAAAAATGTCAATGTACCATTTTAATATTATAAAAAACAGAATATCAAGAGCATATTTCGCTATAATTTAAGGTACTAAAGTGATTTTATCCCTATAAAAAAATTATATAGAATTACTGAACTTATTTTTAAGAGTATATAAGTCTTAATTACCTCTACATTTTTAAAAATATTTTTTTATACTTTAATTTAATTTTTAAGATGTAAAATGACTTTAGTATCCTTATATTTAATTAATCAAAAACTAATAGATCTAGGAAAAAAATTATGAGCTTTTTATTTTGTTCTTTTCTTTTAAATATTTTCATATTTTTAAAAAAAATATTGATTTCTATATAATTGATAAGAAGGGTAGTTTGAACATTATATATGTCTTAAAAATTAGTTTCAGGATATTGAGAAGATGTTTTTAAAAATGTCAATGTACCATTTTAATATTATAAAAAACAGAGTACCAAGAGCATGTTTCGCTATAATTTAAGGTACCAAAGTGATTTTATCCCTATAAAAAAATTATATAGAATTACTGAACTTATTTTTAAGAGTATATGAGTCTTAATTTTTATATTTTATTTTTTAATAATATCATTTCAACTATTATTTGATTAAAAAAATATTAATTAAGAATAAAACTTAAAAATTTAGACTCATTCACTTAAGAGATATTTATTTTATTTCTCCATATTATAAAGTGTTGCTCATTATGGGCTGTTACTTGTAGCATATCTACGTAGGGTGAAAAAGAGAAATACCACTTTTAGGTAATTGGTCTTTTAAGTATAATATTTTTAGAAAATGTTATTCAGTCATAGCCCCACCCGACACAAATCTGGTAATCCTCATAGGTGGGTCTATTAGTTTGTGTCGTGGGTCTGTCTATAGCTCCATTGAGCTGAAAGAAAGAAATAGATTAAGACTTGAGATGAATTAAAATTAATAGGTTAATAGTTTACATAAATTAATAAATAGGTTAAATTATTATTTTTGTCCAAACTTATCTGGTTATGAACCATAACTTGACAAGTTATTGTCCATAATTCACAGTTTTTATCCATAACTTGTCTGGCTATAAACCATAACTTGACAAGTTTGTCCATAACTTATCTGATTATAAATCATAACTTGACAAGTTATGACCTATTAATTTCTATAACTAAAAATTAGCTTATATCCTTTCTTAAAATTTTTATATTAGCCTATTTTCTACGATTTCTGTTTTTAAAGTATGGGCTAATAATTAGATTTTAAAAATTATACCCAATTTAATTTATACCGTTTTTATAATCTTGAAGATGTATATGAGGCTCAATACTATTTATGAAGTATAGTTATTCACCGATACCATTTTTATGTATAAATGAGGCTCGAATTTCTTTAAATAAGTGATTAAAAATTATACCCAATTTAATTTATACCGTTTTAATAATCTTAAAGATGTATATGAGGCTCAATACTATTTATGAAGTATAG